AGAACAAAATATATAGTGCTCTTATAAGTTGGGGCTAAGCTATGCCATGCATTTAGAGAGAATTTACATAGGGCGTGCATTTATAGAGTGTGCACTTATAGAGGTCTTACTGTATATGATTCTGTCTGTGATAAGCCAAATGAAAGCCCACCTGCTTTTACAATCCGTGATGCAATTTATTTGGCAGCTGATGCATGGCAAAATGTAATATCTAATACAATTGTAAACTGTTGGAAGAAGGCTAGTATTCTTCCTATTAATGATAATAATAATATTTCATTTATGAAATTTCAGAGTATCGGGAATGAACAACTTTATAAATTAGATAATTTAATTGCAGAACTTCCAATTAATAATCCACTTAGTGCTAATAAGTTTTTGCATTTAGATGATGTATTGCCAATTGAAGAAATACCTGATGATATGGTTCTAATTGAACAAATTTATCATAAGCATGATAGTAATGATACTCAATCTAATGATGATGATGAACTACCATATAAGATTTTTTTACAAGAAGGGGATCGTCTTGCTAAGAGTTTGGTAGAATTTTTATTGCAACAAAATGATGAATTTGGTGTTTTAGTCAAAAAATTGAGAATAGTTAGGCATGTAAGTGAAATTATTAGACACAAAGAGATAAATACAAGACATCAGGTGTCAATAATGTAATTTTTTAAATAATAAATAAATTTTGCTAAAATGATTTTGACAATATTTGTATTTTTGCAAAATATATTAAAAAATACATATTTTATAATTGAAATAAAAGTTTAATATAAATTACTTTACTTACTTACTATTCTAGTGACAATAGTTCATAGTTGAGGTTAAGTTTATATTGGAATTATTGTAATTCCTCTCATGAGTTGCTGCAAAAAATTATGTAGCAAAATTTACTTGTCATTTCAATAATTAAAAAGGTTATAAGTTAATTTTGTATTAGAATTATTGTAATTTCTACTGTATAAAGAGTTGCTATAAAATATCCTTTCTGTTAAAAATTCGCTATTCTAGTTAGCATGATATGTATTTAAGGTCAAGTTAGCTTGTATCGAATTATTGTGACTTTTATCATGAGCTAAAGTAAAAATTACTTGCTATTCCAGTGAAATCTATATATCTTGCTTATATTATCGGTTTCCTAATATAAAATATTGATTATAACTAAATGTTATTATAAAATTTGATTGGTCAGATTTACTATCCCTTAATATGTAGATCAACACAGACAAATTTGCCTGCGTTTTTGTACTTTTTTAGCTCTGATTTACTTTTTTAAAATGCTAAAATATTTAAATAAAACTTT